ATCTAGATTTTGATTTTTTCCAGTGTGCAGCCGATCCTTTGTTTGGGGATTCTATCTCCTCCTCAGTGATTTGGATGTTGACTTGGAGCGTGTTTAATGAGTTTAATCTTTAGGTTGCAAAATGTTTGACGGTATAAACTTTGTTGAAACTGAGCATTTGAACACAATTTTGTTTATTACTCTAATTTTTATACCAGTTTCTTTATATTAGTAGTTTAGTCTAATGTATTTTTTTTATCGTTTATAACATCAATAGCTTCATGAACAGCTGCTGAGGTTTTTCCTTTTTTTTATAAGTTTATTTCTGTTTCCTTTTTTTTTTTACGTAGTATAAATTGAATGATAGTTTGTTCCTCCTGGTCAGAAACATTTCAGATGTGTTTTGTACCTTCTAGGCTTCTGATTGGATGCCATGATCAGTTACAGCTGAGCTCAGATGAATAATAATGTCAGAATTTGCAATGATCTGCAATAAATGTCTGAATTTTTGCTGCAACTATGCTGTTTTTTCACCTTTTTTTTTTTTTTATTCGTTGAATTGAAATACATCCATTGTTTTCAGAATGGAAATTCTGGTGCATGTTAACTGGGTTTAGTCCCTAGATTCACATAATTAACTAAAGATTCTATCTTAAAACTGATTTTTTACGAAATAAACTTTTATATCACCTCTTTCTCTGGTTTTATAAAGTTTATAAATAGTAATGTGAGAGGTATTTTTTACACCGTACAGATATTTGTGTTTTTATCATATTTTTAGAATCAGATTATTAAACATTAAGATTCATTTAAAAAAAGTAGTATTTAAAATGACTTCATCAAGAGAAGAAATGCTTTCTAATTCAACCTACCTTCATGATGACCAATAAAATATTAGATAAACATTTTTATAAAGCCAATTTTTCACCTTCCACACACACAGGACTGTCAAATCAAGCAGTTCAATAGAACTTGTCAGACAACATGAAGTAGGCTTTAAGAGCTTTAAAACATCAAGCCCTTCTCTAGAGAAATGTAAGAACTTATTTAAAAAAAACAACATTATTAGTGGCGTCTATCTGTCTTGAAAGGATTTTAAAGCCATTTCTAGGCTTTTGATTCTACTGAGAACTTTTATCCAAAAATGGAGCAACCAGGGAAACATGTTGAACCTTGCCAGATTAAGTCAAACTTATCGATTTATTAAAAGGGTCAGAAATGAACCCAGAATATCGTTTCAGTCTCTGTTGGCCTCACAGGCTCAGCTAAAGGGGAAAGTTAATGATTCAGTATTAAGCAATAAGAGGGCTGAGTCCAAAACCCCTGATGACCTAAAAGAACACAGCGGCCCAATCATGTGCATTTAAAAATATCTTTGGGACTTTCAAGATTTTTTAATGATTGATTAACTTTATTGATCTCACAGTTGACAAATTACCTCGTTAAATCAGCTCCAATAGTCAAAGAAGAAGAATAATGTGCCAAAGGAAGAAAAAGGTGCATGGGAATATATACAGTATATACAGCACATTTGACAGCTTTTTTTTATTATAGTAGGATTATTATACAGGGTTATTACCAGAGGTGTCAAGTAACGAAGTACAAAAACCTCGTTACTGTACTTAAGTACACTTTTTAGGTATCTAAAACAAACTTTACTCGTTACTCTTGGCTTCGGTTTAATGTTTCTAAATCTTTATTTCCCATCATGTGCTCCATCCAATGCAGATCATTGGCTCCACCCACATCTAGTGAAAACTAGTGTGATTGGATGAGTCATAGAACGCAAACACTCATTGGTTAGCTAAAGGAAATCATCAGAAGCAAGCAGGTGTTCTTCAAACTGCTAACGTGAATTGTCTATGCCATGCTACAATGTGGGATTTAGAAAAAGATGTTGAAATGTCTGAAAGGTCGGACACAGGCGAGAGCGTATCGGGAGACGGAGACCAACCAGACCTCCCTCATCCTTGGCCCTATCTCAGAGAATTTATAGAAATAGTCAAAAAATTGAGCTAGTGGCATCTGGCTGTTTTTTTTTAAAGGTTACTTTATACTTTTATACTTCAAGTAGTTTTTGGAGCACATACTTTTTCACTTTTACTTGAGTAAAGAGGTCAAGTTGATACTTCAACTTTTACCAGAGTTTTTTTAAAGTGCAGTATCTATACTTCTATCTATCTATACTTAACAAATATGTGTACTTTTGACACCACTGGTTATTACACAGGGTGTTTACATGGGTATTTATATAGATAGATTTTTCTATTTATTCCATCCATGACTGGGTTGTGAGGGGATGCTGGTGCCTATCTCCAGGTCTCCAGTCCATCGCAGGGCAACACAGAGACAAACATGAAAAACAACCATTTACAACACTCACACCTAAGAGAATATAGAGAAGCCAATTCACCAAAAAATCATGTTTTTGGACTGTGGGAGGAAGCCGGAGTACCCAGAGAGAACCCACGCTTGCTCAGGGAGAATATGCAAACTCCATGCAGAAAGACCCCGAGCCGGGAATCGAACCCAGAACTAACCAATGTGCAGCCCCTGATCAGAAACAATTAAGTATAATTTGTAAAGCAAAAAAAGAAGGCATTTTAAAGGAAGTAAATATAGTGAACATCAAAATTATTCTTAAATATTGCTAATTATGATAATAAACTATTTAAAGTTTTATAGAATTTCATATCTGGTGGAATTGTTTATATTAAAAATTTAAAACTAAAAATTTCTTAATATTGTGGTTGTATGTGTCGCTAATTTATTTCATATTTGTGGTATTTTATTGCTAAAGGATGCAGAATGTTAAAAACTAGCTGCGTAATAAGGCTAGCCCAGTGTTAGCCCAATGCTAGCACACAACACGAAGCTACCCTAAAGATTGCCAGTTGGCACAAAATCAGTTTGCTATAGTATAAACAAATTAAATAAAAATTACATTTTACAGTGAAGTCGAATTCATACAAACACGTCGCTTCGGATTGAAAGTAAAATTCCGAGTTTGTTTAATTTGCCATGTTTTCAATCAGGCATAACTTATCGCACCAATTTCAGAGGGTCCTGCGTCGGTTAACTTGGAAACCATTCAACGATGTTTGTTTTGAAGCAATCAGTAGGTGAACATTTTCATTTTGAAGCCACATTTACATTAATTATTTACCTTTATCTGTTGTTTTAGGCTTTTTTATGTTTAAGTTTTTAACTGGCACAGCTTAATGCGCTTTACCGGGGCGCAGAAACGTTTGTTTTTGTCGGTTCCTTCAACGCTATAGCTAATGCTAAAGCTAACTTATGAATTTTTATATAAATTTTAACTCTGCAGCTTGTCGGTTTTAAAGTGAAGTGAAAGCACGTCGATGAATCTAGCTGTTAAGTCCCAAATGAGCAAATGTTTCTGTGGTAAACACTACAGTTAAGGTCAATGATTAGTAGGCGGTTTATTTAGTCGTTTCCTGATAACGTCGAAAGTCAATGGTTCAGACTATAAGTAACTTTAATGTTTAGAAATAACAGTTTTAAAATATCAATGTCTTGTTTGATTGAATGTTTAAATAACGAGTAAATTTCACAGTCTCGCCTCAGCAACATCCAAGTTTTAAAAGATTAAATGAAATCAAACTAAATCAAGAAAAACAGATTTTTTTTTTAATGTTTTGTAAAATATATGTTTTTCTTTGCTAGATGTTTGCTAATCTTCCACTGTCCCACACTTAAAAATGATTGGCTGCTGGTTACAAACACAGATCCAACAATTCAGTTCATAATTGGCTTTATTTTGATTTTATTCGTGATATTTTTCTGTTTGGAGGATTCATTAAATCAAAATTAATTAGCTTTAAAAGCAAAAATCTTAAAGATGTGTAGTTCTTTATGTGGTTTAAAAACTGTATCAGATTAATGGTGTAACATAATAGACTTAAAATTAAATGAAATATGCATACACTGAAACATGCCATTTGTGGAACAAAAGCACACCTGCAGCATTTATGTATTTATTTATTTATTTGAAAATTGACAATTCATGTAACATGGGTGCATGAAATTCACTTCTATATATGCCAGTTAGCCATAGAGGCTAATTTCTATCTGTACCCCAAGATCACGTTGGTGTTTACAAAATGAAAGGCCATATATAGGACAATAAAAGAATAGACGATATAATAAAAACCATCAATATATCAGTGGATGAAAAATGATCAAATGTGCAGGAAATAAAACAGACAGTTCAGACAAAAGTTTACTAAAAAATACAGATCTGGGGCCTCATTTGTCAAACTTTTGTACACACAGAACACAATAAAGGGTGTAATTTGTTAAAAACAGACTTTGTTTGGAAATGTGCAATCTCTCACCCACCTCCATCGCATATGCAAATACTGAAAAGAGAGGGAAATCAGCGACACGGATGGTGACTGAGGGGAACTTTATTAGATCCAAACCACAGTGGAATCAATCCTGACACTGGCAGGTTCTGTCACAAATGATGATTAAAAAACATCAGTCCTAAATTCAAAATCAAAGTCTGCATATATTTAAATGTTTCCTCATCATTTTATGAGTCGTTCCAAAGATAAATGAATAAATATGTGTGAGAAATTCATCTGAATTTTTGTTAACAATTAAAAACTGCTGAATTTACCGCACATAATGGTGCTGATGAAAGATTTAACTATTCCTAAAACTTTGGAAATGGGAGTATTAGGAGCTAAAGCATTTTTTTTTAAGATTATTAATGTTTCCTGACCCAGGTTATCTGCTGATCAGACTCCACAGAGGTGTGCTCTCTGACCATCCCTGTTCATACCAGCAGGAGAAGGACTGTGTATATTAATCTAAAATATTATTAACCCGTCTGAGGTAGAATTTAAGATATAGTCATTAATTATAGGTATAAATAA